TCCCATCGACGTGTCGACCCATCTAGACAGCCTCTTCTCGAGTTGACAGGTTTTACCATGATGGCTTGACGAGCTTGCTCCAGCTTCACAAGAGTTCACAGGTTTCACCAGAGTGAGACTTGTAAACCAGAACTAGTGAAGCAACGAAAGTGCAAAATGCCCCTCATCGGCAAACTGCACACATTTTGTTTTCAAATCCAAGTATTTCAAAATTGTTTGCCTGAGATAGCCCACGGCAAGGAGCTTCTTTGTAGATGTACAGTAGACAGTCAAAGCAGTCGTGATGACCATACCATTCCTATGCCCACACTTGGGACAGCAATTCGTCTTCTTACATGTAGAAGTGATGCATTTGTGAAGAGCCTTTCGTTGCAGATAACCCAAGCTAGGATTAGCCACCTGTCTGAGAAAGTCAGATCGCTGATTTTCGCTCAATAACAGGCCAGAGCAATTCTGAAACAATAAAAAAAAGTCGGACATAAAGCACCACTTCTTTAGGGAATTCGAAACAGAAAACTGGATGCTAATGGGTGGGGGGGGGGGCGTCAGCCACCAGACCATGCCACCCTTTTCTGCTACTCTGCGTCCTCACAACGAGATAGTGTTCAGCGAACCACGCTGACGTCGATGAGGGCGCAGACAATTAGAGAATGGAATTAGAATGCATTCCCTTCCCACCCCCCGCGCCCTCCCTCCGGGCGCTAGCACATTTGGTGCCCTCGACAGCTCCTCTCTCCATCCCCCTAACCAAGGTGCAGACTTTGAGCAGAGTAGTCTTTCGAGACTCTGATTGTCTGCGCTCTGAGCCGGAGCCTTGATTAGGGGGAGGGGAAACACGACGGTCAAACTAGTCTCACGTCCCCCCCCCCGCCTCAGCTAGCAGTGACAAAGAAGACAACATACCTTGCAGATACATGAAAGCTACTTTAAAATCTAACCGTTAAAAATACCAACGTAAAACACTGGAAGGCGAGATCTGACCACCGTAGCTCAAAAGTTCGCCAATCACCAGTTCGAAATAAATAAAAAGCCCCCTCCGCAGAACGATCGCAGCTTTTGCAATAACAAATGGTGGCTGAAGTACCGCTGAAGGGATGGATCTTCTTTTCATAAATCTGTCATTTCAAAGTTTGAAACCCCACGAAATGTGAAAGAATGAAACATTTGTGAGTCAAGAGGAAACACTAAAAATGATATAATGGTATATGAGGCGTAATTTTGAGTCAAAGGAAACACTAAAAATGATGTAATGGTAATGAGGGTACTTCAAGAGTCATACGAGCGGCACTGCGCGCGAACTAGCTGGGGAAAACTATTGCGAAATACGACCCTCTGTCAAGTTCAGGGAACTATGTTTTCCTCAAAGCGACCGTTGAGCGCGGCCGGGGCAGTAATAACCGTGGGACGGGAAAAACTGCAGAAGGTCCGCAACCGGGAAAATTTTTTCCGCGCACAGAAAAAACTTCTTACGGTTTTTAAGTCCAAAAATAACCCCTTCTCGAAGCTACAAGCAAATATGACCCATCCCCTTGATGAAATTCTCCCAACGTCGTGAATAGTGTGCGTGAAACAACGGAATTTCAGGCCAATCAGACCACCATCCTCTCCCCTCCCTTCAGCCACCAGTAACGACCCCCTCCCCTCCCCGCAAAAGATTCCGTAACCTACGAGGTGCCCCGTTAGAAATAGTATGAATGTTTCTTGCTGCTGTTCCACGAAAACACACGTAAAGTCGTGTACTACTCACCAAACGCCCATCAAGCGGCCCACATTTGGCCGGTGTCCAATTTCCAGCACCATCCTCATAAAGTCTACTATTTATGACTCGGACATGAGATGTCTGGCGGATGAACTTATCACTACCAGCAGTGAACTGCACACCAACACTAAAATGGGACCTTCATGGCCGGCTATCACTGGAAAAAGACGTGCTCCTTGGCTTGGGAAGGACATTTTGAACTTTCACTAGATATTTTTTCGAGTTCCTGTTAACTTACGCCTTACAACTTGTAGACTCATGTCAAGTCGGAACGGAGCCCCTGCTAGTACAGCTTGACAGGAATTCACAGGTCTTCACAAGATGATCGATGAGAGCCAACAAAATGCCTCCACCAAGCAGAACTGCACCGAAAATAGTAAAATTCCAAAATACTCACACTTTTCTGGTCCAGTCCGATTCACGAAACTGAATTTTGCCCATAGTTCAGTGCAGGAAGTCTGGCGATGTCCTGGAAATCAGGCTGCAAGAAGGGCAATTGTTATTGCATCAGATTGCGTATGGAGTTTCGAAAATCGCCCAACGCCGCAGGACAGTGGCGCTAGCGTTAAGAGTCCTCTACTTCTCTACCCTTTCACGTCATTACCGCGCTATTCTGGGTGGAAAGCGCTAAGATGCTGTGGGCGAGGAACGACTCAGGTAATCAAGCAGTGGATCCTTAAAGATGATGAAAGTTCCCACAGTGCAACATAACGAAGGAGGTGGGGGGGGGTCGAACTTCCCATAGACGTTTCGATCCATCTAGATAGCCTTTTCTTGAGTTGACAGGTTTTACCATGGTGGCTCGACGAGCTTGCTCCAGCTTCACAAGAGTTCACAAGTTTCACCAGAGTGAGACTTGTAAATTGGAACTAGTGAAGCAGCGAAAGTGCAAAATGTCCCCTCGTTGCCCAACTCCGCCTGGAGGAATATTGCATGGAGCTATCGCTGCATTGGCCTAAAGATTCCTATTAGTTCCGCAGGGAAATTCAGTGAGCGCTTACAATCCCGTACAGTGGCGCAATGCACGGCGCATTCCCAACAACTCGCTCCTGCACAGGAAATACACACGTTCGCCACGAAATTATCCAATTCTAGCCATCTATTATAGTTCTGGCTCATAGAAAGATCCCCATTTATGCGCAAGCGAATTAGGGTCATGCGTGGTCATATTAAACCAACACCTTACAGCGAAACCCAATTAAGGCGGGGGATAACAAGTTGTTCAAGTGGTAGAGACATAAGTCACAAGTAGCGTATGAAACTAATAGAGGCGCTGTTCGGCTTGAGAGGAGCATGTACATGTTAACCAACAGGTCTCGTTTTGGTGGGACCTGTAAACTCTTCTGAAGCTGTGGAATGGTACAAGTAAGCAACCTTGGTTACAAGAGTTTACATGTTTTCACGTGTCTATACCGTGTCTGTCACATGTCTATACCAGCCGCTTGAAGGCACCTCCAAAAAAGCCGTAAAATTTGAATTTAGCGGGTTGAAGATTAGAAGTGCATGTGCTAGCTGAGTAAGGAAGAACATATGACACTGTCGGAGGTGCTCCAAGTAAGACCCTCCCTTTGGCAAGCAAGTGGCGAAGAGTCGTCGGGATTTCGGGTGGGAGACCAGGGAAAAGTAGCGAGAGAGCATGAAAACGAGCAAGACGGCAGACACGACAGCTAGCAACGCGGGCGGAGTCCATGAAGCAGCCTATAGCCCTAAGGCCCATACCAGCGCTCTTTCTGATTTGATTTTTCTGATTTATTTTTTCCTAATACCAATGAAAATCCATTTCGGAAAATTCTATTAGGCCTCGTTCATAGTCTGCGACTTGAGCGACTATTTCCAGCCGCGTTCCGCCGCCAACCCTTGGACCTGTACAACAGGCCTAGGAAATTCTATCCAGCATGTCACTCAATCACTGACATGATTGAGTGACATGCTGGATAGAATTTCCTTCGCATCGGTCCAAAGATTAGCGCTGGAGCGCGATTGGTCACAGTCGCGCGACTAAACCGCTCGAATAGCGAGTATGAACGCAGTTTTACCTATTCATCACGAAATTGGATATCCCGTCAAACTTTCGTAAGTCTGGGCCAAATGAACTATCCATGGTGACACAAGGAAGGGTCTTTGAGGTGATGCGCTTCACTTTGTAGGGCTACATGTGTGTATCACAAAAACGTTATTCATTTTCTTGCGTGCTTCTGGGAGGCTAAACGTATGGGTTGACCAATTAATCACTGCTGTGATAGTTGACGGGTGAACGGTTCGCGGCGCATACCAAATGAATCGTTGCACTCCTACGGTTGTCCTTCCTGTGGGTTAGCCAAAATATTTAGGTCGTAGTCGACGACCACTGCATTGCATTAACTTGAGTTCGACTTGGTGAGGGCACC